GCCCCGTGGCCCCTGGATGCCACACCATCACCTGTCCCAAATACCTTATCACGCAGCCTCCCCTCTCTACCAGCAGGCACAAAACAACAGATGTGAGACCAGAGCAGCAACATGAAGGCCCCGTTGGGAAATTTTTGCTTTAATTAAACCTAATATTCTTGTTGTAAATTACCAGTCTGGAATCCCTTTAGATTCTTGGTCTCAGCGACTTCTTATCATATTACCATTTCACTGACCATCTCCTTATCCTTGGTCGTGAGACATGGAAAGGAGGACCCCTGCTCCCTCGCTCCAGGCTGTTTGGTACTCCTAGTCCTCCTGTCGCATCCCTTTGGCCAGCAAGCCCAGGCTGAGCAGTCTTTTGGCACAACAGAGCTGTTTGCAGCAGGGTCCATTTCCAGGTGCCTCCTCCAGACCGCGCAGCTTTAGGATTCCTGTCTGTGACCAGATCTGCAGGCTGCAGCCATCTGGGACATGGTGGTGCTCTTCATGTTGCTCCGTGATTTCCTTCTTCTGAGTCCTGATATTTATCTGCTCTTCTGACTGCAGCTGCCCCCCAAGCAGGAGTTTTGGGTGATCATTGCAGCTATATCAATAGGGACTGCTGCCTAGTGCCAAGTCAGGATTGCAAAAACAAGCAAAGCGTTGCATGACATGATGAATGGCTGAGGAACAAATGGACATTTACTGGGTCCAGTGCCAGATCATACACCTTATACACCTCATTCACAAACCTGGCACCAGCTGGCTGGGGACACTACCCAGGAAAACATACATACCCAGTCTGCACTACCCAGGAAACAGAACTCAGGGCCAGGTTGAGCCTGGGGCAAAGGGATGTGCGTTGCTCAAATGCTCATAATCCAGCTGTGTCAGCTGCCGGGCTGGGAACTGCCTTCTCAAGCTCTCCCAACACTCGTCGAGCGGATCTCCAGGCGTGTGACACTGGCCAGCCTTGGTCACATACTGGAGGGAGCCTGGTAGCAGTGTCAAGGTGAGCCTGAGCTCCCTGGTTAATTGTGTTAACCATACTGTGGTACCACAAATACTGCCACTTGAAGGAAGGCCATGGGCACCTTGGACCATATTTTCAGGCAGAAATGCTGATGTGGCACCAGTTTTGGAAGTAAGGAAGTTCAGCCAGAGGTGGCCAGGAGGAGGTTCAATATTTCCGCACAGGGAATCAGCACTTGGTCCTGAGCACAGTTCCCACACCTACAGCTTTACTATCCTTGACTACAGTGAACACATCTCCCTTTTGACTGCTGGGTGCCCACCAACCTGGAGCAGCAGGGCAAGTTACCGTCTGCTTTTGCCATGCCTCCTGATGCTATGCAGAGTTTCCAGTGCGTCTGGCAAATTAAAGAGCCTGAAGGAACTGTGGCTCCAGGATGTTGCAGAAAGTACACACTGATTTGAAAAAGTGACCAAAACAGGAGGAGATGGACGTGTTGGCTGTGTCGGTGGCTGTTAGACAGTGGTCTGGAGCAACCTCTGCCTTGGCTCTGAGCTGCTGTTAGCTGGGAGGGGACATTAACCAGGAGAAGGGCTATTGGCTTCATGCCCCATTACTTGTAGTTTTCTCCAGAGTTGCTTGGGAGACTTTGGTAGATGTGGGATGCTGGGTTAGAGAAGGTTGAGGGCTTACATGAGCTTCCTCTCATCAGTAGTTGACAGAGATTATCATACCCTGCCTGCCTGAAACCAAAGACCAAACACATTGAAGGTTCCTTCAGCAGACCCCCTGCCAGCCTCTCTACCTCCCACAGAATTTGGAAGAGCCATGGGGTAGCGGCGGCTTCCCTGCAGAAGTGCAGACTACAAAGGTGAGCTTGGTGGGGTGTCCTGTCTTCTGTGTTCCTCTTCTACTTCTGATCAGCACTGACCGCATCCTCACCCCACCACTGGTGTCAGGGCCTTTGAGCCAGTGCTCGCTGTGCTGGGGAGTCTCACTGGGCTCATGAAGGGCTGCTGTGGGATCCAGGCTGGATCAGCACTTCTGAAAAATCAGACTCTCAGCAGCTCCTGAACCCAGAATTGGGAGCTGGACGTTATGGGCCTATTTATATCATCCCAGATCTTGCTGTCCAGACTGAGACCAGTTCTTCAGACTGAGCATTTGCTTTTCAAATATGTCTTTTAAAGTAAATCAAGCCTGCTGAAAATATAAAATTAAAGCAAGAAACATGCAGAAAGGATCCGTGCTTTCCTTGGTGAATTGCCCCAGGGCACACACTTATTAAAGGCAGAAATAGAGTGGTGGAGATAACGAACATGTGTCTCTTGCCTGTGGTCCATTTCTGGTTGCATGAATAGGCTGACGGTTAGGGTTTATGGTTGGCTCTGGCAGACAACATCAGTGCAAATGGACAGATGCTGCAAAACAACTTTGCCCTTGCAGGCCTGGAGGAACAGCTTTTCTCTGCCAGAGGGAGCAAGAAATTGTGACTTGCGATGCTGCTCAACTCTTGCCTTGCCTTGCCTTGACCCTTTGGAGCTGTAAATAAAGCTTGTGAATGCTTGAGCAAGGAGTGAGGTCCAGTTTGCAGCCATGTCTCAGCCAGCCATTGTAACAGATTAATGACAGGAAAGTCCTGGCCATGGGCATCACGTCTGGTCCTCCCAAGCTTTGGTGATGTGTGTTGCCCATTCTGGTGGCCTCCTCTGATATAAAGTGGTCTGGAACTACATTGTCCTGATTCTCCTTTCTGCTAACTATGGATGAACCATGTCTGGCCTCCCAGCTTTGACATCTGAGCTGCAGTTTGCATTCAGCAATGTTCACACCAGGCTTTACTCGCACTTTGTAGTCGGTTGACTCCTCTCTATTGATGTACATTGCAGAAGCTACTGGATGGAGCCAGGTTGCCTAGGAGCTTTGCTTTTCACATTATGTGATGTCGGATTGCTCAGTGGACAGGAGCGTGATGCAGAGAGCTAGGTCCTGCCTTGCTGGACTCAGCTGCAAAATCCTGCTCTCTTTTTTTCTGGGGTTTCTCGGATGAAATACAAAGTTCATTTTCACACTGGAGACTGGTACAGTGCTTTTCATCTATATGGAAGAGACTTGCTGGGGTGAAATCCTCTAGGAGAGTACAAGAACGTATTTCTTTTTATGGCTAACCAACACAGGTGGGTAGAGGGGAGGGGAACCTTCCCAGGAAGGTCCTGGGCTGCCCTCAGCCATGAAAGAAGAAGGACTTGAGGCTCTGCAGAAATTGTGACTTCTGTCTCTGCTTCTGCTTCTTCCGGATGATGGGGATCCAGACAAGGCCACATACTAGGAGCATTAGTCCCAAGGACAGGAGAGCCGGGCCACACATTTTGTAAACTTTTTTGTTCTTGTTTTGGATGCAAGACAGGCTGGTGATGATGATCCCAATGAGGAAGATGGCTGCTCCGACAGACACAACAATGACCGGCTTATGGTATATGTCCCACTTGCTTCTGGATGCGCTGGTCCAGACAGACTCGCTCCGAGAGCTGATGCAGAGGGTGCTGGCCGTGTTACTGGTCAGCAGCTCTTTGGACTGAGGAGACTTCTCACTCCCATCAGGGCTCTTGGGTGGAATTTCCATGGTGACGGAGTCTGAGGAGGAGACCTGAGATGGACAGAAAAGAAAGAGCAGAGAAGGGCTAGTGATGGAGGACGGATTTGGTGCTTTCCATTTGGTCATTAATCAGTTCCAAATCAAATGAAGATGGAGAAAGCTTTGTGGGTCACTGCAGGAAGAGAAGAGCATCACAGCTGAACTGAGGATGCCCACAGAGTCCCACCACTCACCCATGGACAGTGGGACTCCCACTGTCCCTGTCCTTAGACCTTCCAGCTCACCAGCTTCCAGCTCCAGTAAGGATTCAGAGATGGAACGATAAGATGTCCATTGGAACCTGCTACCCTCAGCCTCCCAGGGCTCTTGGCTGCTTTCAGGGGAGCATCAGGGTGCTGCAAGCAGGGCTGGTGATGCTGGCTGTGGGGAAGAGCTCTGTATCTCTGGACCCATTTTCCCTCCTAGATCCCAAATTACACCCCAGCACCTTGCTTGTGACATCGTCATGTCTTGCAGGCAGGGAAACTGAGGCACGGGTGTGCCGTGTCCGGGCCACTCTGTAGCAGAGCCGAAAGCACCCTCTCATGGACTGAACGCTTCCTTCGGGCCCCCAGAGCTGGATGTTACTCACTGCCACATCCAGCCTAGATGTGTCAGCCTTGTAGCAGCCACAGCACAGGAGCTTCTCAGGTACTGTCTAAACGCACAGATGGGAGATGGGGAAATGCTTGTCATACAGGAGATATTTCTCCAGTTGTAAGCTGGGGCAGGCTGTTGCAGGAGGGCTCTTGGGCTTGGTAGCAGGAGCACACCGAAACTCTGCCTTGGGTCAGCAATGTGGCTTTTTGGGGCATTATTTTTTCACCAACTCAAGAAGGAAATACATTTTCCCAGAAAAAAAGTGCCTTTAGCACGGAGAAGCCATTACAGTGAGTGGGGAGGACTGAGCATGATGTTAACCACTATTTCCTCAGGGCTCTGCTGAGGAGGCAAGGGCAGGAGGCTGGATTGGAAAGTGCTCCTGATGCATGGTCTGACCTGCTGCTGGGAAGCCCAGCAGAGATGAACCTGCCTGGGTAGCAGGGCTGAGGAGAGTGGGAGAGGCTGGGGCCGTGGGTGCTTTGAGCCCTGGAATCAGATATTTTTTGCAAAGCGAACTCCTACGTGGGCTACCAGGTTTTCTCCCAGGGGCTCAGCAGTGTCAGGAGGTCTGGGACTGACCCGTCCTCTGCAGGGCATTTGGACTGCCCCCACCCTCGGGACATGGGGATGGTTTGCAGCAGGAGTGCCAGCCCCGAGCAGCCCGGGACCCTGCATTGCCCTTCTGCCAGCACCACAAGGCAGAGCCACTGGTGGCTGCTGCCACAGCCAAAGCTGTCCCTGTGGGTTCCCCCACATAGGGCAGTGGTCAAGCTCCAGCCAAAACCATGCTGGCCTGGGCACAAGCCCCTGCCGGGGCTCAGATGCATGGGCAGTGCCACCAGGACTCTGTGCCAAGCACAACTCTTGCTTCACACCACACAAGCTTTGAGCCTAAGTGGGCTTTGATCCAGAGCAGTTTGTTTAAAACCCTGCTTTGGCCCTCGTTTGGCACACACCGCACCGCCGGCTGCGTGTTTGCTCCGTTCAGCCCTGGCTGCACCCAGACCCGCTGCCAGCCCGTGGGAAGGCTCATCAGGAGGTGCACGTCATGGGTGACACCAGGCTGAATTTGCATCCTGCGTAAGCCACTGGAAGGCCTGTGGCTGCAACGAGCAGGAACTAAGTATAGATGAGATGATCATGAAGCCCGATGGCCCCAACTTGTTTGCTGTTGCTGCTGATCAATGTGAGTGCCTGTGCCACGCAAGAGCAGCTGCATAGAAGCTGCAAGGCTGGCACAGCTCCAGAGGCACTGTCTTAAGGAAACCCGCCTGTATTTGAGCCATACTGGGCCCAGTGCCCATCTAGGGATGCTGGTGGCTGGGTGCCAGCCAGCACCTCCCTTATTCTTTCACCTGTGTCGCCTGCCAAGGTCTGTGGTTTATTCTGAAAAGACCGATGTAATCTTTCAATTTAGTCCCTCCAAAACAGACACTGTTGCAGAAATGCAGATCTGCTGGTATTGACATATTTTCTGAAGTTTCAGGTTGGCCAGACTTGGACCAACAAGCAAAAAACAAAAGCCAAGAGCAATGGATGTGATTTACATCCCTCCCATCTGCAGCTTTCACCTCTCTCTGGACAGGTGGGGGCAGAGGAGCGGATACATTTCTGCCATACTGATATAGATTATACAGCACTTGATCAGGGATGATCAAACACTTGACAAGGCAGGTAAGTCCGGTCATAGTAACATGCTCTGGTTTCTCTTCTCTTCCTTTTGAGTTGCTAACCCTGTCTCTGCAAGCTGGGCTTATTGCAGTGGAGCATGCTGACCCCTTGGCTTTGCAGAAGCATGAACTGCCATGAGATGTTATTTTGATGGCTGGAACCATGTTAGACCTGCAGGTGATCGGGCACAACTTCCTCTGCTGTCAGCTCTGTGATGCAACTCACCTCACCATTCCTCAAAGTTGTGGCTGCAGGCAGCCACAAGCTTCTCAGACAGAAACCAAATGCTGACAGCAATGTCCAGTGTTCTGGGGAGACAGTGAGGCTGGCTCTGTGTGGGCCAAAACCTTTGTTCTGCTTCCATTTGTAAAACCTTCCCAGGAGTCAGCCCACCGTCCAAAAAATCCCACCAGCTGCAGTGCTGTGGAGATGTGCCTTGATCCTGGATAACTTCTTGCTTGGCTGGTGTGTGCAGCCTGTCCACCAGCTGCCTTGCTCGTAGCGCTGCTGGGTTGTGATCCCCCTCTTCTAGCTCGAATCTTTCACAAGGCTCTTCCTGAAATTTCATCCTAGGTAGCTGTGGCATTTCTTGGCTTTCTCCTTGCAACATCCATTGTGGAGAGGTTTTATGACCAAGCCACTGTATAATTTTAATTTGGCTTTGTGGTTGGAAATTTGCTTTCTTCTCTGGAATAATGCCCAGATCTCATATCTCAGAAGCCTAATGCAGTCTGCCCTGCCCCATCTTTCAGGCACCCCACTCCCTGCTTGCCTGTGTGCTGCCACCCTGCCTCTTCATCCAGGGGTACTCTGAGCTCTGCAAAGCATCTTCCTCTTCATTTTGCAGAGCATTAATGTCAGGGTCCTGCAGAAACCATCACCTCCCTTTCAGGTTTGCATTTACAGTAGAGTGGATTTTTTTCCCCCCATTTTATTTTCTGGCATAAGCATCCCTCTCACCACTATTCGCAGACTCGGATCATTTTTCTGGCACTTCCTGGCAGAGCATGCTTTTTTTGGTCACATTTTTCTCCATATCTGGTCGTTTCCCTCTATTTTATGTACTCTGCTTTGTATTTCTGTCTGTGCTTTTGCATGAGGCTCTGTGTATTTTCCCTACTGTTAGCCAGTGAAGGATTTCACTCCGTGCGAGTGGCTGGGAGTTTCTGAGCATTGCATGTATCTGCAGCTCTTGGGAGAGCTAATGTGATTTCAGTTCCTGCTCTGCCCATGCTCCATCTCTAATTCATCACAGATGTGCTCGTATTTGAAGATGCAATGGTTGTACTGAGTGGCCTGGCAGGATAATGCTATCAGATTTCTCCCAATTTTTTTAATCGTTATTGCTGTAAGGAGAGCATCAGCAGATGACTGTTTGCTGGCTTGAAAATGCCTCCAGAGCACATCTCGGATTTCATGTCTGGTGGTGTGCTGCTGCTGCCTCTGAAGTCTTGGGCAGCTGTTGGTTGTGGAACTAACACTGGGGTCTCTCTTTTCTCCCTCCGTAAGAAAAAGCCTCATGTAATGCTATTTATCCTCCCTTTGCTCTTCCAGTGCTTTGTGTGGTGACGTTCAGTTTTTGAGCTGGGAGAGCCACTGGGACCCACCTATTTTAGACCCTAGCACCAAAGCAGCACAGCACATGCTTGGGTACCTCCTGGACCTTGGGGATGTTACACGGTGGTGCTCAGGAGGGAGCTTTGGACTGAGCAGAGCACCCAAGGTCTCTGTCCTCGGTTCCTCAGCCTGTCCTGGCTGCGGATGGTGTTCCCCACCCATGAGCCCTCAGCAACAGCAGCTCTTAGGACCAACATCCCAGCCTGGGACCTGGGATGCTGCAAATAACTTACAGTTGTGGCCAGAGTTATGCTACAAGTGGTGCAACAGCCTGACCTGAAGACTCTGCTCCTGTGCATAGTCCTGTGTCCTCCCAGCCATGCAAGGATTGGATTTACTCTCCCAGCGCAACCCTCAGCCTGGGCATCTCCTGCTTATTTGAGGAGGCAGCACTGATTCTTTAGGAGCTTCTTACATGCTCCTTGTAAGTCCTTACTGCAACAAGTTGCTGCCACATCTTCCTCCCACTTTGCATGGCCAAGGGCAGCAGAGCTTCCCCAGCTCAGACAGTCTCACCCCAGGGACTGGTGTCCATCTCCATCTGGCCATTCCTCATGAACACCTCTCTAAGCATCCCAAAGTGGAGCCAGTCTTTGCCCTAGCACTAAGCGGGTGCCATCCCATGGGAGAACCTGTGGCACGGATGAGCATGGACCTGCCCTGGGCGCAGAGCCATGGGTGTCAGTGGTGGTCCTCCTGTGTACAAGGTAGTGTGGAGGGGCTGCAGCACTTGGGGTCTCTGCCCTGTGTTTTACCACACAAATCACTAGAGAAAAATTAAAGATTTTGTAAATCAACTGACAAATGTTGCTGGAAATCCAGGCCAAGTTTATAGATATATTTTGCCTTCCTCTCTGCAGTCAAGCCACCTTCCTGAAGAAAGCTCCCTACCCCACTGGGGGCAGGACAGCCCCACATCCCTCTTGGAATCAACTGTCCTGGAAAAAAAGTTTTGAAGAAAGGATGAAGTAAGCCCTGCACTCCATGTATGTGTCCTGTTCTGGTTTATGCCAGGGGAGAAGCAAAAGCATTAACCTGGCTTGAGGGCCAGGTCTGGATGGGCTTTTCCTGAGGGCTCAGACCCTGATGGCCATCGC